AACTGTCGCCAGAGAAAGTCAAGCGACGACGTGAGAAAGGTCTTTGTTTTAAGTGCGAGGAGAAGTTTACCCCGGGGCATCAGTGCAAGCAAGCCTTTGTAATTGAGGTGGCCAACCCGGACGACAAGGAGGTTGAGGTCGAGGAGGAACCGCCTCAGGAGGACGAGATCGTGGCCTTCAGTGAGGAGCCCGAAATTTCGATGCATGCAATGGCAGGAATCAGAGGACCAAGGACAATGCGACTACCAGCATGGGTCAAAGATCGGAGAGTAATAGTGCTCGTAGACAACGGCTCGTCGCATAATTTCATCAATGTTGACTTATCTCAAAAGTTGAAATTACCAACCACAAAAATCGAGCCCTTTGAGGTACGGGTAGCCAATGGAGAGAGGTTGCAATGCACTGAATCTTTTCGAAAGATGCCAATCAAGTTCCAAGGAGTCACGGTAACAGCTGATCTGTATGCTTTACCCCTAGTTGGGCCAGACGTAGTACTGGGAGTTCAGTGGCTCGAAGGACTAGGCAAGGTGACGACCGACTATCGAACTGGAATTATGGAGTTCAACTCCGAAGGTCGTCAGGTCACCCTCAGCACCGGCACTGAAAAAGGAACTAAGGAAGTAGGGTTGAAGAGCATCGAGAGAGTTTGGCGTGGTGGAGGCCAAATATTTGTAGTGGTAGTCGAGAACATGGGAGCGCACCTGGATCGTGACGAACAACAGCAAGGAGACGTACGCGAGCTTCTCGAGGAGTTTGAAGGGGTACTGGGCGAGCCTAAAGGGCTACCACCGCACCGGGAGTTCGATCATCGCATACCATTGGTCAATGAACAGCATGCCATACATGTCCACCCTTATAGGTACGCTCACTTTTAGAAAACCGAGATCAAACGGCAGGTTGCGGAGATGCTAGAGTCAGGACTAATCCAGCACAGCAAAAGTCCGTTTTCTTCTCCTGTACTGTTAGCTAAAAGAAAGACGGCACGTGGAGGTTCTGTACTGACTACCGAGCCCTAAACGCTGCAACCATCAAGGACCGATTTCCCATTCCAAGTGTCGATGACATGCTTGATGAGTTAGCTGGGTCACGATATTTCTCTAAACTTGATCTACGAGCTGGATACCATCAGATTCGACTCCACAAAGCCGACGTTCCCAAGACGGCCTTTCGTACACACCAGGGACACTATGAGTATCTTGTCATGCCATTCGGATTATGCAACGCCCCATCCGCTTTTCAGTTCGCCATGAATTCTATCTTCAAGGAATATCTGTGTAAGTTCGTTTTGGTATTCTTTGATGATATCCTGATCTACTCGAAGTCGTGGGGCGAACATCTTGGGCATCTAAGAATAGTTCTCGAAATTTTGGAGGCCAACTCATTCCACATCAAACCATCTAAATGTTCATTCGGGCAAGAGATGGTTGAATATCTTGGTCATTTCATATCTCATGACGGTGTGACGGTCGACCCGCGAAAGATTGAGGCTATGGTCGATTGTCCTAAGCCAACAAGTCTCAAGCAGTTGAGAGGATTTATGGGGTTCACGAGCTACTACCGAAAGTTCGTAAAGGATTATGGGACCATCGCCAAGCCACTGACAGCAATGACTAAGAAGGGTGGGTTCATATGGACCGAAGCTAGCGAAGAGGCGTTTGGAAAATTAAAAGAAGCTATGACGACAACGCCAGTACTCGCCATGCCCAGATTTGATGTCTTGTTCGAGGTACACACCGATGCGAGTGACATTGGAATTGGAGTTGTGCTAGTGCAAGAGGGGCGACCCCTAGCCTATCTCAGCAAGGCACTGGGAACTACTCGGTTAGGTCTGTCAGTGTACGTGAAAGAGATGCTAGCGGTTGTCGAGGC